CTTTGGGAGCAACTCATGGGGTGGCAGCCATGCCGTGGGGCACAGGGGGGGCTGCGTACTCCTGCCCTGGGGCTTCAGAGCATTCTCACCCCCCTCTCCATCCCCAGCTCGTGCTGTACTGCCACCTCCACGGCTCGGCCACCAGCAGCCTCAGCATCTCCTACGTGACCAAAACCACCCAGAAGCTGGTGAGGGAGAGAATGGGGGACCTGGGCAATTGCTGGGTCCGGGAGAGAGTGAACTTCAACGTGACGGAGAGCTTCAAGGTGGGCTGGTGCCGTGCTGGGGCAAGCTGGGCTGCCTGCGGGGCAAGGGGCACAGGGGCACACCCAGTACGCACCCATGGGACCAGGCTTGAACCAGGAACTGAACACCAGAGCTGAGCCTCTTGTGCTGGCACATGTCACCTTCATGTCCCTGCACCCAGACTTCCAAATCCCCCTGCTAGTCCCCCCAGCCCAGGGACCACCCACGGGAAGAGTCTTCATCCACCCATGTCACCCCATGCCTTCCACTGCCCTGTCTGCTCTCCCCCAAAGCCACCCACACAACCCAACCTCCTCCCGCCTGGCCCTGGAGGGTGCCCCAGTGGCACCCTGAGGGCACTCCGATGGCACCCCATAGCACCCCTGGGCACATTCATGCCATGGTTGTGTGCAGGGTCATCACCATCACCGCAAGCCCACCATGGCCCTGCCAGCCCACCCTGTGCACCCATTCCAGCCGCAGCGTGACCCCTGATTCCACCGAGCCCCTTCCCGGGGGCAGTGCGTGTCGGCCGACCACAGGAGCTGGGGTCCTCCAGTCCCGTGGCTCCCCTGTGTCCCCCCGTGCCCAGGGCCATTGCCTGGCCCCTCTGTGCTGTGCAAGACCTCATGTTGATGTTGCCGGCGCGGTGCTTCCCTGCAGGTGCTGATCGAGGGGGTGGCCGGCAGCGCAGGGACTGTGGCCATCGATGACCTGATCCTGTCTCCAGGCTGCGTGCAGGAGCAGGGTGAGCTGGAGGGCGGCCGTCCCCCACCCCTGCTCCAGCACGGGCAGTGGTCCCCAGGTGTTTCGTGCCCATGACACCATCCCTAAAGGTCCCCCTACGGGGTCTGACTGTCCCTCTGCTCATCATAGTGACCATCCTGCATGTAGCATTGAAAACACTTGCTCTGGGGCCCACAGCCCGGAGTGCCTGATGTCTTTGTCCTGCAGATGTGACACTCCTTCCGCTGCGCCAAAACCTCCTGGCTGAGCCAGGCAGCTCTCACTGACCCCCTTGGTCCCCTTCGCCTGGTGGCAGCAGGCAGGGCAGGGATGGGGCTGGGGGAAATGGAGACCCGGGGCAATGAGAGCCAGGGAGATGCTCAGGGACAGGGGAAAGTGCCTTGAAATGCTGACGCTGGTGGTGCTGCCAAGCCCTCTCACCACCGCTCTCCATCCTGGGGTGTTTTGCCGTCAGAGAAGCTTTCAACCATGCTGCCAGGCCGGGTGGGCTCCCCCAGCCACTGTACGGCTGAGGAGGTGGCCTGCGACAGCGGGGGCTGCATCGATGCAGAGCTGGCCTGCGACTTCACCGAGACGTGCCCCGACGGCTCCGACGAGAAGCGCTGCGGTGAGAGCCACGGGCAGGCACCGGGCACCTGGTAGCCAGGTGTTGGAGGGGACCAGGTGGCGGAGGGGACCCAGGCACCCCTTGGCTGGCACCTGAAAGGCGCAGTGGCCCGGCGGGGCTGAGCCTGGGCTTTTGCAGGAGCAACCACCTTTGAGGAGGGGGCCGGGGGCTGGCACGACGTCAGCGTGGGGCGGCTGCGCTGGGGTGTGCAGGGGGCCACCAAGCTCTCCGACACCCTCCTCACAGGTGAGACTGTTCCCACTGCCAAGATGATGCTCTTTGGTCCCCAGGGTGCAGGGACTCCCTGCTCCCACCCAGATGGGGTGGGTGGGTGCCACCGCAGGACCGGTGGGGGTGATGCTTGGGCAGGGTACTGGGTTGGGGGATGCCGCCAGGGATGCGGGGCCCCTGCCCCGACCTCTCAGGGTGTTTCTGTGCCCAGGGTCTTTCCTGGCCCTCCAGGCAGGAGAAGGACAAATGTTGGCTGCTGCAAAGGCACGCACGCCTGTCCTGGGCCCCGCCGGCCCTGCCTGCGCCATGGAGATGAGCTACAGCATCCACAGCGGCCCCCAAGGTA